TCATTAAGAATGTAGGACTCAAGCTGGAGCACAAATAGTGATCCTGCACTGTTAATTAATTGTTAATTGTGATCTTACAGTAGGTGATACAGTATTATTTATTTTCTATCATTAATGTGCGGTTGGAATAATGGGCAGTGTGACTGGATGACAACAAATGGGGTACAGCTCTAAAAAGTACAAAATTACTTTGATCAGTGACTTCTAATCTTAGTATTTGCTTGTTGTTTGGTTATTTGGCCAGCTGTAATATATGTTGGTCTCTCCAGGACTTCACAGGACATTTTGGGATTTGTTGAGGTCTAAAATGGTTGATTTTGCAGCAGCTTTTCTAAAACATTGCAATTTATGTTCGCAAAGATTTAATATCTCTAGTAGTTTGGGGAGATATGACTCAATGCTAGACTGTTATGATTGGTGAAACTCACGGGAAAACTACATTGATTGGTCAAAGTTGTGGCCATTGGACAAAATTGCAAGGTCACACAGAATTTACAGGGATTGGTTGAATTAGCATTCATTGTTCCTGGAAGAACTAATATTTGTGTTGCTATTGAATTCTATTAATTTCCTGCGAGGCTGAAGCCAGATACACACTTTGTTCGGATTCATGGTCACTATGCAGTTATTTATCTGTATGGGACAGTGTCCTGCTGGTCTTTGTCTGGATGTCTTGAGTGTTGAGCAGCCACACAGCGGGGCTGACTGTGGGTACAATGGATCCAGACTGACATTCAGTCTCATTAGTATTAGCCGGCAGGAGTAAAAGCAGGACTGGAGGACGGGGATCCCGCCGCCTCTGTCTGACTTTTCAAGGCTTTTCCTTTGCTGTCGCTGAGTGCAGGCAGAGCTGCAGGTAACTCATCCAGAAGCAAATCAACTGTTCAGCTGCAATATCAACATGAGACTTTTAATATTTGTCCCAGTACCTGCTCTGTCTGTCCTTCTTAGCCCGTTTTTTGGGGGCATCTTGGATGAGAGCTTGCAGAGCATCCATCTGTGTTAGCTTTTGTCAGGGTGTGCAGGCCGTCTGTTTATGTCAGGAGGCTTAGGATCAAATACATGCTGACAGTGAAGGGTCGCACATGTGCACACTAGAAGTGGAAAATTCCTTAAATCACTTGCGAATTCCTCAAATTACTCACTTCTACAACCTTTTTCTACTTGCGTGCAAAGCTCAAAGGGAAATTTTCAGGGTCGTCTGGGTTAACATCTCCTCTGCTGCCTCTGATTTATCTCTCCTCCAATGGCAAGAGGGCAAATTACTAATTTTCTGCTACAATCTGCTACTTATTTTCTGCACACCCACGCATCTTCTTGCACTTAATCTTCTATGTGATTAATCACCTTTAATTGCCACTAAACACACAGAGGCGACAGAGCCTGACCTAGATTGCATTAAGGGTCCTGTGCGACCCCTTATGACATCCGTGGAGAACTGCGGACCACTCACTATATAGGGCTTTAACACTCTGATGGCTTTACTGTTTTTAATGTGATTTACAGAGATTAACACAGACATCCTGTCACCACATAAAACCTTCTGACACAAATCTGAAGCGGCAGAAGAGAGCTGGACGAGTCACACTATGTTAGCTCTTAAATTTCTACTCGTCTTTAGTGACTGAAATTGACTTTGGAGACATGAAATTGATTACCATCGTGGTTTAGACACGGTCACGCAGTCCTAAAGGGGGGGTTAGAGATAAAACGCGGTGGTTTTTATTGCCTGTAAGACCAGCAGAGAACTTCAGAAGACATCTAAAAGGGAGCAGGAAAAGCGGGAGTAATGATCTGTAGCATTCAAAACTCATTTTAGTACACACAGACACATGTTACTGTAGAAGAAGGAAGGGAAAGGCTGTAAAGCATCTGGGATGGATTCCTCATGGGGTCCAGTATCTTAGAGACCTCTGCTGCTCTGCGCAACATCAAGAGGGATTTGGTTGCCATGGCGGCAGGTAATTCAACTCTTTCTATAAAGAGAGAAATGTTTCACAAAGACAGAAAGCACAGTTTGTCCTGACGTACCAATACGACACTGATGGTGATGGATGCAGATTAAAAACCTTGAAGAAACTCCCAGTTGGAAAATATACGAGATCTTATTAAATGATACAAGTGAGCACATTTTCAGCTCTGAGATGTAAATGCTGCAGGTGTGGATTTAAGATTTGTCGCTAAGAAACGAGGTTCAAGTTTTTTAGTGTTGTTGTACTTCCTGCATCGACATCAGGCAGTGATGCTGAAAAATGCAGCAGGCCTGTCACAAAAGCACGCAGATGAAACAACCAACAGCTTTGATCACTCTGAGTAGAAAAACAAGATGTTTATGTACATACCCAAATATATGGGTGAGAGCATAAATACAATGTATATTTCAATACTGGATGGTTTTGCTTATGGCCAATAGCAACCATTAAAGCTGCAATGTGTTTAAATAAAGGTGTCTTTCAGCTTATTGTTTTTGACTGTAACTGTACTGTGTTGATTCACTCTCATCTCACTGATCAACAAAAACACACTAAAAATCCCCTGTAAACTACCCAGTACAAACGAACAAAATTATTAACTAGCTGGTGAACGTAATGGAGCATTTAGCTGCTAAATAGCCGGATATGTTTTCTTTTTTTCAAGAGTTGATTGAGACCGAAAGAGAGTTAAAAGGTCAGTACTGGACCAGAAACATGACTCGAAATGGATGTTAATGTTGCTCTGTGTCGACTGGATGAGTAAATAAGCAACTGTTTGCTAATAGGCTCGCCATAATAACTTAATAGCTATAATAGTTATAATATGTCAGTGTTGTGTTTACATCTTGTTGTGCTGCCCTTGAGTGGCCAAACAAAAAAAATTAAGGATGCACAATTGATGGTGTGCATTGTGTGCGTTCACCTGACATAACAAAAATGTAAGTACATTGTAAGTACAGTGTATCTGTGAACAATAGTGAACACAGAATTTACGAACTTAAGTTTAAAAAACGTCCAGATTATTCTGTAAAATATTTATTTGTATTGTTACAACGACTCTTTAATCCTTCTGTTACTTGAGTGAAAACCTGTCAAATGTGAGGATTTGGTGCTTTTCTCTGTTTTGTAGCATTGTAAATGTAATATTTGGAGGTTTTGTACTGTTGAAAAGATACAGCAAGCTATTGGAAAATGTCATTGATCTACAGCCAGTGTTTGGATTGTCCGCTCTGGGCTACTGTGGAAACATGGCAGTTCAACATGGCAGCCACCGTAGGGGAGGACCCGTTCCCTCTGTAGATAAAAACGACTCATTCTAAGGTTACAAAAACACAACGATGAGCCTTTAACAGCGAGTGACCAGTCAGATTTCAGAGAAAGCCAGTGCCACCACTCTGGGTACTATATGCATTATGCATAGGTGACGCATGAGAATCTACAGTATGTCTGCAGGATATGGACTACAATCTCATTTTTTCCCTGGTGAATTATGTGAGGAACACCCCGAAGCTCTGAAAGATGTCCATCCTCAACGCTGCCAGCTCCGAGCTCTCAGCCATCTGTTACAGTTACTGCAGGCAGCATCTTCGGATAACAGGTCAGATATAAGCAGGTGCCATGAAAGAAGCCAAAAACAGGGTGACAGGCTGCACATTGGCACCAATATCCCAGATACCATCGATTGGTTTCTTCAAATATTCTCCTTTAGCTCTTTTTTTTATATTTTGAATCCAAGAAAGATGAAGCAGGAAAGGTTCGGCAACTTCTCAAGTGACGGCAAATGGATGTGAGTGAAATGATCAACCCCCTCTGAGCTTTTCCATCAATTTTACAATTGCCTCAGCATCTGAGGTGACACACTATCTCATCACCATCTAGAAGAGATGATTGGACTGGAGGTCTGTTAAATGGCTGTTTTGAAGACACACAAGACCAATTCTGACTGTAAATCATGAAGAAATCTGTAGCGAGGGAAGGATGTGCGTGTGTGTGTGGGTGTGAGCTCCCTGTGCACAAAAACTCAACTGCATTCACAATTTAGTTTTTTGGTTTTCTCATAGACACCAGTAGCTACCATCACTACACAGCTCCCTCTTGTGTGTGTGTGTGTGTGTGTGTGTGTGTGTGTGTGTGTGTGTGTGTGTGTGTGTGTGTGTGTGTGTGTGAGCACTGAAGAGCCTCTATATCCAGCTCTCCATCCTCCCTCGCCACTGGATGCTGAGCGTGTGGAGGTGAGGGTTACTGCTGCAGAGGCGTAAACAAACTTGGCTCTGCAGCCTTCTGAAGTGCGGTGCCTCCCTGCCCACAACAACTCCAAAATAGCCTCTCAATCCACCACAAAGGCCGGCATCTGTGCTCCTCTGCTGGCTCTTATTAAAGCATAGCTCCAATATTAGCCATGCCTAATGATCTCTGGGGCGCCTGTGAGCTGTCAGAGCACAGAAAGGAGTGGAACATACAGTATATATAGAGTGAAGGAATCTGCTGTATGGTAGCTCAGGAGACAAATGGTCAAGAGTTAAAATCATGCCAGAATCACTGAGCTACTTAAGTTTTATGGAAAAGTGCATATGTGATAGAAGCAGTTTCCTGTTGATAAAGGAGGCCTGCTCCTGGTTGTCCACTCGTGAGCAGAATTTCAAATAGAGCTGCCTCCTGACAGCTTTTGCGCACCAGAGACAGCAGAGTTCCCCGTTTGGAGAGGTGCGCATTTCTCCCCTCTGCCTCACGAAGCCGACAGAAATATGAGCTGGAGGTGTGTCGGAGAGGCAAATTCATCCGCTTACTATATTGTGCATTGTAAAGCAATCATTTAAATCCATAGTGACAAGTGAACATTCCCACAGCTCTACTGAATGCTAAGCGGAGCTGACAACATAGCGCAAATTATTTTCGAGGCAGACTTGTTGCTCAGCTCAGAGGATGATGAATCACTGCGAATAAAGATGACACGCACATACAGAGAAAAATACGCACTGGTAAACAGCAAAGAAAGATTGTGCAGCTTGATCATTTTTACGCACGTACCTTGTGCAGTTTCCACATTGCGCCCAAAGCCTTGACTTCGTGTGTGCCGTGTTTTCCTTCTTCCAAACACTGATAACACACAGGCGTCTTACACTGTACACAGTACATGCTTAGGTTCTCCAGTTCGTGTTCTGTGCAAGTGGAGATTTTGCGGGGACTCGTGCGGCGACTTATCCGCCCCTGCGCTGGCGGCACCAGGCGATGCTTGGCGAGGGGACCGCGGGGAGGATGGCACCTCAGGCGGCAAGGGTCACAGTAGAAGACGTCGCACTGCTCGCACATCACGGTGGCCTCCTTCGGACTCTTCTCGCAGAGCTGACACTTGAGAGCGGCCGCTTTGCTCTGCTGATACCTGTCCACAACCCCCTCCAGCACCCGGTTCTTGGGGAATCCGCGGAGCCCCCGGTCGTCCAAGATGAGGCTGCGGTGACACTGTGGGCAAGTGATGCAGGAGTTGCGGGGGATCGGGGGCAAAGAGCCGGGCTGCGGTAGCAGGTGCTGCTGCTGCGGAGGAGGCTGGGGGACAGTCGGGGGGAAAACTCGCACCCCGTTCGGTGATTTTTGGCAAGGGGTGGTCGGAGCGCTGACGAACCCTCCATAGGAACCGTATCCACTGTCCGCCTCACTGTACAAACTCATTTTATCCAAATCCAGATAATCATAGTCGGAGACGCCGGATCCGGAGGCTCGGCTGCTCTGTGGGGACTCGGCGTCGGGGGTCTGCACAAGGATATTCCGAGCACAAGCCAGGCAAATGTTGTGGGAGCACGGCAGTATGATGGGCTCCCGGTAAAAAGAGCCGCAAACAGGGCATTTCAACTCTTCCTCCATTTCATCCATGGCTGCTTCTGTGAGGTGAGAGATTCCTCTGTGGAGTGCAAACACAAACAAGTTACAGCGGAGAGTCTCGGCTGATTAGTCTTCTGCTCTGTTTGCGCGTAAACGGAGCTCCAGTCGCGTCCTACTGCGATTACTGCAAGTGCAACCTTGACCAGAGGAAAGGCATCAGTACCGGGGAGGCAGACTAACAGATACTGCACACTCTTCACCAATAGGCAAACAGCATCAGCTCATAGCGGGTTCCCATTGGGCAGCCAGTGGATTCCAGACAACCATTGGATAGATCCACTGTCAGTGTGGAGAGGGCTCCTTAATGAGCTTTACAGCCAGATACAACACCAGATACTTGTGTCTGTAGACATTACTGAACATCTAATGCAGCCTAATTGTTTAGGGGATTATTAAGGAAACAATGCGAGACTGTCCTTTGAATTAATATCAATTCATGATTATGCAGACCCCTTAATATTAGATCAACTGCAGATTTATGTGTTTCTGGCAAATAGACCAAAGAAAACAGAGAGTATTGTTTTAGAAAATGCTTTCATAAGCTGATTAGTCTAGTGGATTATTTACTTAATAAAGAATCTTATTATTTAAATTAACATATTCAATTACAAGTACAAATCTCAGCTAAATGTGTGTTAGTATTTATCAGAGTAGAGTATTTGTTAAATTATTATGTATTATATTATATCATATTACAATATTGGATCACTGGTGCATTCATGTGTAGGCAGCATTTTAATGTTAACTTAATGCATGTACTGCTGATTAGCTAAATTTATGGAAATACAATATACTTTATTAGCTAATTTTATCATTTTTATGCAAAAACATCATTAGCAGACTAACTTCTTTTGCTGTAGGGCTGCAACTAATCTTAATTAGCATTTTACAGTATTGAATAATCAATAGATTTTTTTTTTTTTTTTGGTTTATGAAATGTCTTATGAAAATAATGAAAAATGCCTATCACAAGCTCAAAGCCCAGAGTGACATCATGAAGATATTCAACTTATAATCAATTAAAACAAAGAAAAACAGGAAATGTTCATATTTAAGAAGCTGGAACTTGTGATTGTTTGACCTTTTTGCTTCATAAATGATCTAAATTAATAATTAACTGATTGTCAGAACTGTTGTTGTAGTGGATCAATTGACTATTTGTTTCAAGTGTAAAAGGTATTAGATTTTCCCAATGCAGTGTAGAATGTCTGACTCAGCAGGATAGACTATTTTAAAATTTCTTAAACCAGGATCACATGCAGCTTTGCATTGCTGCTGCAGAGTATAATCTTGCAGGATTTGAGTTGTTTGTGGAAACGCTTCTCTTCTCAGCCGCCGAGGGAGCAAAGATCAGCTCCTGGAGGAGATTGAAAACATGGAAACTGACACTTTGTGAGATAAGATAAAGCAGCAGCTCTCCACTGCACTCAAAAGAGGTTTTTCTTCCAGAGCTATCTCCATTTCCATGGCCAAATACCTCAGACATCTCTGAGACATCCATGGCAACGTGAGCTTCCACTTTTAGTCCTTCAGTGCGGCTGTTGATAGGGAAATTAAACGCAATAATCCCATTTTACGGAATGCCTCTTTCTCAGACCCACAGAGGGCAACGCGAGGCCACTCATTCATTTGCATATTTTGTAAAGCAGTTTGAGAATGGGAAGAGCATTAATATGGACGTCTTTGTCTAATAAAGATAATCAGTCTGGCATTCGGTGAAGTGTCCAGTGCATTAAAACATAAACTGTCTGATAAACATATCAAAGTGTAAATGTGAATAAACTCTTTGAGATCAATAATAGTGTTGATTTAAACAGCGACGCTGGAAGTCAGTCAGAGTTGGGGGTGCTGAGAGAGAAGTCTGTCTATATAATGACATCATACTAAAAGCTACATGCATGACATTTATGGTTTCTGCATTCATTTGCATGGGCTGGATCATTTCTAGCCAATTTAACGGGCACATTTTATACAGTTTTATAACTTGTTAGCAGATAAAACTGATAAAATAACAGAACAAAGCGTCTTTCCTTTAATAACTCCCATTGCAAATAGCAAATAACTTCATGCACTATGTGATCTTTTCACATTTAAGTTATTTAAATTAATCTCTTGGTCACAAGCAGAAGCTACAGCAACCAAGCCTCTTATGAAGCTATACGGTCAAAATTTTAGTCAGGAAGCCGATAAGATCACATAATTTCCATGTTCTTAGGAAATTAAAAATGTTAAGTTTTGATCATTTTATTAAATCTGCTGATCTTAAAACTTATCTAAAAATGTCGACATAACCAGGCTGCCCCAGGGATCTGTCATCATGAATGATCTGGTGCGTCCTGTTTTATGTTGCTTTAATGTATTACTTTGTGTCCCGTATTGTTCCTTCTTTCTTGCTGAGTACAGTATGTGCATACTTACTGTTGAGTTTGTTTGTATTTGTTGAGTTTTATCTGAAATGCAGCTCAAAGTGCTTTACAGTGTGGCATTAAACACAAAACACAATAAATAAAATATAGGAAATGTCATTTAAACAAACACAATATATACATACATGTACAAAATAGAGTCAAATAAAAAAGATGCTATAGGGAGGGGTATTGCAAATTAGCTGAGGCTATAAATGTTGTGGTGTGTGATGTTTGTTTATGCTACATACTTGTCCCTATACAAATAAACAATGAAATAAAAGTAGTAATATACACAAGTCATTATAAGTTTAAACATTTTTATTATGCCAGACCCTCAGCGCCCATGGATTAAAATCAAACGCACTTCAGGAAATTAAAAGATAACATGGATTTATAGTTGGCAACACAGCCAATAATCATACATTTATATTTATTTATGAAATTGTCCTCATGAAGACATTCATTAGATGTTGCTAACATGTTGATCTTTTTTTTTTTTTATCAGAGCCTTCTGCTTCTGCTCATAATTCTCTAAGATTTGTGAAAATATACAACAAATGGCAAGTTTATCCATGCTAATATTTCCCTGGATTTAACCAAATACAGTTCTGATTCAAACCAAATGTTAGTAACAAGACCATCAGCTATTTTTGGATGCATGCTTGCTGACGCCTCCAGCATGATGACATTGTTCTCTGTGTAATCTCCTCAGTTTGGGGCCACACTGCATCTTCCTGTTTGCTGCCTTCTCGCAGACAAGTGGCCAATCCTTCTAAATCTATTTCATCTTCTTTCTTTTTGTGTCAGTGCCAGCTCTCTCCAAGCTGCCAGGACACACACACACACACACACACACACACACACACACACACACACACACACACACACACACAGAGGTGGCTCTGAGAGAAAATCTCCACCGATTTCTTTTTCCTTCTCTGTGATCACATCCCAGAAGGAAAAGAAAGTCTCTGATTAAGTTTCCGTTTTTTTTGTTTTTTTTGGTGACCTTATGTGCAGTAAAGTAGGAGACGCTTTCATGAGGACAAATAGCTGCTGATTAACTGGCGTGTGATAAGGCAACAGTATCAGCAAACACATAATGTCAAATTAAAGGAAAAGGGACTTTTTTCTGCAGAGTTAACTGACTGTACTTTTAAGATTGGTTTTGATAAAAATTTCTGTCACATAATGCAGTTTGCAATGACGATGGCCGCAGATTTATCTCTGGAAATTCTTTGTAACTTCTGAAACAATGGGTCCCTGATTTCAGAGAGAGATACACAAACTCCAGCGGAAATAACAGCTGACAGATTTAATTAGCTGTGGCTAGCTAGCAAATTAAGCTCACGTTAGCCCCATGAGTTGGTTAAAAACAGTCTTTGGCTGATTTCTTTTAAAATGAGAACCCCATTAAGAGGGTCTTAGATAGGCACTTAATGGCTGCATACATGCCATTGTGCTAAAATAAAGCTAAAGCTACATGACGCAGGGCAAAGCGCTAACATCCTCACAAATTGTTCCATTTGGTCAAGACATGGAAGTTTTGCTTGTGTATTGTTAAAATAAAGGTAGTTAGTCCTATATAAAAAAGAAAAAGTAATCCAGCTGTTAGTTATTTCATTCTAACGTATCTTGTTTAGTTGCTTAGTTAGTGAACATATGTAAAGAACTAAGGCAGAGGTCAGTTTTATGCTTTATTGTTCGTACATTCAAACACTGTGAATCAGATTTCTAACTAACTGATGGAGTCTCCCAGTTTCTAATAAAGAGGAGAATAAAGCCGCTAACATTGCTGACACTCTGATATACTGTATGGTAATGGCTGCTATGGCACAGTAAATATCCCAATATCCCATAACCCTAACCCTTTTATGCATATAAACTTGCTAATTCTTGGCTTTAAGTATGTAATGCTAACTGTAAGTAGTAAGCTAATTAGCCGGACATGCATGGTAATGATTGTAGTTTATGTTAGAGTAGGTAAGCACATGGTTTAATCCATTCCTCACACTTTAACTCGTGTTTTTTGGGGGTTTTAGAAATAAGATAAAAAACTACCTCCAAACTTTTTAAATGCTTTATATCAGGTTTGCACCTTTTGAGCAACCTGCTGTATCTAGTTATGGTTGGACAACTGCTATTCGAGGGCGGGATTTAGCACGGCCAGTTGCCTACTATTTACCACTGACTCTTTATATACAGTCTATGCTCTGTAGCAGTAAACAAATCTGTCCTTGCCGTAAACTAAAACAACCTCTCCCATTGGTTTTCTAACTTTAAATGTCTCAACAGTCCATCACAACACCTTCAATACGTTGTTAGTTAAAGCCGTGTTCAACCCACAGTTCAATTGCCCTGCTCTGAGCTCACATACTTTATTGGAGTCTTCCCCTCCATTGATAAGGGATAAAGTCTCCTTTGTGTGTTGTACTGAGTCTATTAACTCTTCTCACCACAGACTCCCTCCGCAGCCCCAGAGGCATCACGCCGTCTGTGTAAAGAAGTACACAGACTGCAGGAGCTTTACGCTACACAGCTCAGGCTAGATGAGAATCTCTATGGGACGCAGTGGAGATATTGTCAAGATATGAATAGAAGCGGCTGGTGTTGTTGTTACTGCACACTGGCTTGAGAAAAGTTGTGGTTTTATAACTCTTTAAAGGATGAAATTACTGTAGTTTTGGAGAGTGGATGATTATACTGGATCCAAAATTACGCAGTGAAACAAACTTATGTTCTAAACAAGAAGTTTCTTTTGTTCTTA